CCTGTTTAGTTAAACCACTTTAAAACATGTTTAAGCCTTGGTGTGAATGGGGTACTAGATTCTAGCTTTATCAGATATTTATTATATATTGCTGATTACTATGTTTGCAATGACACTTAGATTTAATATTATCCTCTTAGATAAAGATTTTTTACCTTTCCCCTCAGTTATTTCACAATTATTGTATCTCCTATGGGCTACATAGATATGGGCACTAAAAAGTTTTCATTATTATTATCGTTATTATTATTAATTGATATTATCCTCTTAGATTCTTTACTTTTAATTTTCAAAAAGAATGCAGACGTCACTTTAAGTGCTTAACGACCTAGAATGCACCATGCTAACTTCTTAAATATTGTATTTCATTATCTGTATTATTAGTAATAAGTGTTTATGGATATATATATATGTATATTTTGTCTTTTTGTTTCAACATGGATCTTGCTAAATGAGACATCCCTGTATAAATATTGTTGAAATAAATAAGTAAATTTGCCCCATCATTCTTGGTCTCTATGATTTATTATAAACTACTGTAACTGTTATAAATCTCGCGTTCTGATAGGTTGCGAGCATGTGCTTTATAAGAGCACATAGCACACGTGCACTTTCGGTTGCGTCATTTCTAAAATAACAGTTATAATAATTTGTATTTTATAAAAGAAATTAAAGACTTGCTTGCTGTGCTGTGTTCAGCATAAAGCACTTGAGGATTGGCAGGACACTCGAGAAGTGTTGAGAAGCACTCTGCTATGTGTCATGCTTCTCCTAACACTTYTCTCGTGTTCTGCCAACCCCTGCATGCTTTATGACAGCACACAGCACGACCACATGTTTTCTATAATTTCTTCAGTATTTAATAACTTGATGTTCAATGTTGTTTATATATAGGCATGGTAAAGGCTAATGACATGGTCAGACCTGGGTCTCRGCAGAATGACAGAATTCCACTGGTTGTGGGAGGAACAACTTTACATGGTGAGTTAATAAAAGACATTTTGCTTTGTTTATGGCTAGATCATTCCACTTTATCACAAGGTATGTTTTATAATGAAGATGATGGTGGTGTTGATAATGCATGTTGCATGATGATGATGGTAATGATGATGATGATGATGGTGTTTATAGATCATTCCACTTTATCACAAGGTATGTTTTATAATGAAGATGATGGTGGTGTTGATAATGCATGCTGTATGATGATGATGGTAATGATGATGATGCTGATGGTGTTTATGGCTAGATCATTCCACTTTATCACAAGGTATGTTCTATAATGAAGATGATGGTGGTGTTGATAATGCATGCTGTATGATGATGATGGTAATGATGATGATGCTGATGGTGTTTATGGCTAGATCATTCCACTTTATCACAAGGTATGTTTTATAATGATGACGATTGTGGTGTTGATAATGCATGTTGCATGATGATGATGTTAATGATGATGAAAATGATGATGATGATAATTTTCAAACTTTTTTCTTTTTTGTAAAAAAAAATTGAAAACATGATGCTGGGTTTTTTTGGGGGGGGGGAGGATCTCAGTGAGTAAACATGTACTTCAAAAATTTCTATCATATAAAAAATTCTTATGAAAAATGATCCAGTGATACACTGAAGTCCACAAATCAAATAATTATCTAATAATCCTAGGATTCAAAGCGGAAAATTAGTGAAATTCTATAATACCTTAATTGAAGCATTTAACACATGTTTATAGGTTATCTACTAGTCATAACAAACAGTATTTTTACTGGCAGCCTCGTTAAGATCATTTTGCTTCACACATAGTTATTTGATTCACCAATACATTTGAATTTAATGGCTTTTCAATCAATGTGATTGAAAAAGTGCCACAAAATAAGATATATAGTGAGTACTTTTATAAAAAAAACGTTGATCATTATTATTATAATTACTTGATTGCTCTTTTACTCATGTTCGCCCAGAGTTATTTCCTTTTCATGTGTTTCTTTATTCTATAACCTCAAATCTAGTATTAAGGTGACAATATATAGTTCTTAGTTGTTTTAATCAGGAAATGACCAAGACTGTAGCTTTGAACTAAGATAACTGTCAGTCAGGAACATCAGATATAATATCTGTCTCAGCTAATGAACTTCTGATCATAAGTTGCCTGAAGCTACTTGCATCACTTATATCACACCCAAGAATTAACACCCCAAAGGGGTTTAAAATCCTGCAATAACTAAATACAATCCTTGGGAGAATTTAATTCAATAGTTCTTACTGATCAGGGCTACATTAGACAGTAAATTGGGTGCCATTCTGTTCTGACAGACCGTGRAATACCATGTTATGAACATGTTTATACTAGGTGTTTGACATGTTCTAGGTAAGATACAATACTGTGTATGTGTCATCATTCTGGTATTCATGTAGCTAAAATTTTGAAAAAAATTCTTCTCAATTCTGATGGTTACTGTTAAAGATTTGTTTCATGTGCACAGAAATAAATAGGCTGTCTATCTATTATTCAAATCTATTTTGGTTTCTGAGCTAGAGCTGAAACCATATACAATATATATATTATATAATTATAAGTAATTTAGTATTATGTGCATTACTGTATACAACAACTTACCCATTAACTATCAACAGTTTTTTTCAGGTATTTATTTCCTGAACTTTCCACTGTTTCAAACCTTCTATATAAAGCGTAGCATTGAGTTCAAATACACTAAGTGATCAATATAGATCCTCTATTGGCTCAATGGATGATTTATAGTGTGCATATAAGAAATGACAAAAAACTCGAAGTGCTCATGGTTTGAGTGTCCTTGCTGTAAATAAGTAGTACATTTACTGTATGTCTTGTGCACACAAGTTTTTTTATGCTGACAAACAAACAATATCGTATACAGTATTACTTGTTGAAGGCAGACAGTTTTACTTTTTAAAATTATAATTGAATACTCTTTTAACAAACAAATGCTTTATTCCTAGATGCTCTGATCATGATTTTAGAAATATCTACTTAGTAATTTAAGGTATTGTTCGATGAAGATCAATTTTAACCGCAAAGAAATTAAATTTAATTACCTGTTTCAGCAGTATTTCATTTTTTCTTTCTTTCCTTTGATTATATGACAGGTATGTTTTTATGAACACAAGCTGTGATGTACCTTAATTACGATTTCTGGAGGAAACAAAATAATTACTTTTCCCTGTTTCTAGCTTTTTTAAAATGTCGATAATCACATGATTGCAGCTAATGTTTAATGCAATCATTACTTAAGAATTATGAAAAAAAATATGGCAACAACAAACATTTACAGCATTTAAGAATGGATTTTAAAAATGTGGACAAGATAAACTTTAAGTGATTATCCCTAATCCGAAAAATTTTTTTTTGCTTATTTTTTTTGCATGTCTTATTGGCAGAACAGCTGGAGGATATAATAATATGTGCATAAATTAAAGAAATTTCCTTTAGATTGATGATGGAAAAGATAAGACTTGTACTGCCTGCCATTAAATCTAATCCACCCCTTAATAGGCCAGTTAAGATGATAACCTTATAATATTAACAATGGCAGTAGAATCACTATCATTGTAATTTTTATCAGTTGTTAGTTCTAATTCTCCCATGTGCTGACTGGTGCCAGTTGGTCCTCACTTTATCTTGATTCATCCATTTATGGATTTAAATCTTCCTTCAATTACGTTTTCTTTTTACTTTAAAAAAAAATCATTATTATTTTTTTCCTGTTAAATTCAGAAATTTTATATGATTGTGTACACACCTGATGATAAACATCCTGTTAGGTCCCTAAGATTCTAGTTTTATTGATTTAAATTACCTTTCTTTAGTCATGATCAATTTCTTAGTCAGGTAACAATGACTCAGATTCATTTTCACTAGCTGAATTTATCTTAAAATTTTGAATGAATAAATTTAAGTAAAAACAGAGAAGGAGAGCGAGAGTATTTCATTTTTCATTTTTTTATAACTGTGATGTACAGACTTTATTTTATTTTATTTTATTTTATTTTAT